GATAAAAATACCATATCATAACTTGAAAATGAAATGATCAATATTAAAATCTATATTAACCAAATATTGAAGTGATTTGGGATTGGTTAATATGGGAATTGTAGAAATAAGAAGCACTTATCACATATAAGATCACATATAAGTTATGGTGACACGGTGCACTAAGCATTGAGCTGCTAACTTCAAGGTTGGCAGTTCAAACCCACCAGCCTCAACACAGGAGAAAAATGAGGCTGTCAGAAACCCTACGGAGCAGTTCTACCCTACCTTATAGGGTGACACTCAGTCAGGACCCATAGGTTTTTGCTTAGTTTTTTGGCTTTTTTTTTTCAAACTAAAATAGAGCACAACAAGGAGAAGACATCCTTCCAACTCTAGTGTCTGGACCTTTCGCAAGAAAGCCTGACTATAGCTCAGAGAAATTCCCTGAAGTACCACACCAGCAGATTCCACAAGAAAATGGCTTTGGTAGTGTCAGAGAAAGTTAGTCACAAGAACGTGTCATGCTTTACAGCCACGGGTAAACTTATCCATGAGGAACTGTCCCGGCAAGGGCACCTGCTGCGAAGCCGCTGCAAAGCGATGGTGTGCTGGAAGACAGGAGCCCTGCTGGTGGCGCGCTACTGTGAGCAGTGTGGGAAACTGGCCAGGAGAGCTGGTCAGGGGCCTCCACTGTGAGACGACATCAGCGGAGCCCGCGGACAAGCTGCTCACAAGCGGACACTGTGAGCTGCTGACCACCAAGCACTGAAACAGACACGGAGTGTGCTGCAGGAACGTCATGCAAGAAACACACTGAAGCCCGGAAGGGGATCTCCTTTTGTCCTGCAGGGCCCTCCACTCTCTCGGCTGACAAAACATATTATCCTGCGTACTGCAAAGGAGACATACTTGAAGGTCCAAGTGCATTATTGCATCGCAGCGAATGAAGTGTGGATTTGGAGATGAGAGGCAAATAAACTGATTAATGGCACAGGACACACCGCTTTTTGTCACATACTTTATTGGCCCTTTTTCTAATCTGCTCCCACACTCATTCTAGGTGGGACCATCTTCCAATTAAACACCTGCCCTCAAGCCCTTGTCCCAGTGTTGCTTCTTGAGGAAGCCAATGTAATACAATGATCTGTATGTGAAGCTTCTCATGTTCCATTGTATAAAATAATGTAAATATTGAGATTAAAATAACTCAAACACTTTAAATTTTCATTCATATATATATGAGTATTGCTAATTATAGAGATTTTATTTAAGCAGAAATCCTGGTTATGTAGTTGGTTACACACTGGGTTGTTAGCTGAAAATCAGCAGTTTAAGGTCACCAGCCACTCCAAAAGAGAATGAGGAGGCTCTCTACTCCCATAAAGAGTTTGGATACAGTGCAGGATGTAAGACATGGCAAAATAATAACAATAATAATTATTTATAATATAAGAATAAGGGTTCCCGTAGGGCAGGATGGAGGAGGGAGGGAATAAAGGGAAGCTGATATCAAAGAATTCAAGAAGAAAGAAAATGTTTTGAAAATGATGGTGGCAGTAATTGTACAATTATGCTCGATCTAATGGAATTATGGATTATTACAATATTTTTTAAACAATCCCAATAAAATTTTCAAAAAAAAATTTTTTAATTTGCATTCTTGTAAAACTGACCAGGCAAGTTATGTCCTGTTTGAGCAGGTCACTATGTGTTAGAATGAACTCAGTGGCAGTTAGTTGTGTTGTGTTTTGTTTTGAACATTAGCAAGCCTCCACTTTTTCTCTAGTGTCAATAACATTTCATTCTTGACTAGATTCGTTCTCATCTACTACCTATGAAAGTGCCAATTCTCACCTATAACAAATTCTTCTCTTGTCTCTACTTCTCACTCTATATAATTCTTTGAATAGGACAAAGGGGCCTCTTTGAAGGAGCTGTGCCTGCTTGCTCTTCCCACCTTTATCTCCGTGAGCACCGCCAGTCAAGTTGTTCTCGTTAGCATTCTAGTTCATTGTGCTGGTCCAAGGTATGAAGTTTTCAATGTTGCTAAGCCTATTGGTTCTTTCTCGGGATTCTTCTTTCCTGCCCTTTCATCAGCGCTTAAAGTCGTTTAAAACTTCACATCTACTGAAGCCAGCGAATGGAAATCTCTAAACCTGATCACTCTACAATGAAAAGTTTCAGATCTCACTCATTCCCCGTTCTCTCTCTGACTACCTGAGAGCTGACAAGCTGTAGACCAGGGATAGCAAGCTTTTTTTCTTTTTTAAGCTATGCTAGTGATGAAAAATTAAAGAGAAATGATGTTGTATTCATCATCAAAAAGAACATTTCCAGATCTCTAGAAGCACAATGCTGTCTGTGATAGGTTAACATGTGTCCAATACACAAGTCCGGTTAATAAAACTGTTATTCAAATGTATGCCTCACTAAAGGTAGTGATGAAGAAAGTGAAGAATTCTTCCACTTTCTACGGTCCAAAATTGACCAGACCTGCAGTCAAGATGCCTTTATAATTATTGATTACTGGGACAGAAAAGTTGGAAATAGAGGAAGGGACAGTAGTTGGAAAATATGGCCTGGGTGACAGAAACAAAGCTGGAGATAGCACGGAGGAATTTTGTAAGACCCACTATTTCTTCATTGCAAATGCTTCTTTTCAACAACATTAAAAGGCAGTTGTATACATGGACCTCACTGGACAGAATACACAGGAATCAATTTGAGTACATGTGCACGAAGCAACCATGAAGAAGCTCAATATCAGCGGTCGCAATAAGGCCAGGTACCAGCTAGGACACATACCATCAATTGTTCATATGCAAGTTCAGGGTGAAGTCAAAGGGTATATCCTGCCTGAAGTTTGAGAATATCTCAAGAGCAGATTTGACACACACTGAGCAGACCTTCTGAGCTGTGAGAAGATAACAGGAACATCATCTACGAAGAAAGCAAAGGGTGATTTAAAAAGACGGGTTGGATCAGGTGGATGTTAGAGAGACTTTGAGGCATGCTCTTGAATGTGAGTACCTAAAGCAAATGGAAGAAATGAAAAAGTAAAAGAACTAAAATGTTTAAAAGGGCAGCTCTAGATGACAAAGTAAAGGATTGTAACGAAATGTGCGAAGCCCTGGAGCTAGGACACCAAAAAAGAAAAGCAAGCTCAGCATATCTCAAGTTAAAAGAACTGAAGAAAACGTTAAGCCTGGAGTGCAATGTTGAAGGATTCTATGGGCAACACATGATATAGACAGCATCACAAAAAGATTCAAGGAATGAAGACACACTATGCCAAAAAGTGGTAGATAAACAATCATTTCAAGAAGTAGCACATGATGAATGAATGGTATTAAAGGAAGAAGCCCAAATTGCACTAAAGGTATGAGAGAAAAGTGAGCCTAAAGGAATTGACAGAATACCAACAGAAATGTTTGAACAAGGTAAGGAAGCACTAGAAGCACTCACTCACCTACATGAAGAAATTGTAATAGCTACCTGGCTATCCTTTATGGCTATACCAAGAGAGAGAGAGAGAGAGACCCAACAAAATGAGGAATGAGAAAATTATCATTAATGCAAGTAAATTTTTGCTAAAGATAATTCAACAAGGGTTGCAACAAAGTTTACAGAAGATAATTCAACAAAAGGTCAAGATGGAATCAAAAATGGCGCATGTAAGATGGATCTTGACTGAAAATAGAGAATACCACAAATATTTTACTTGTATTTTATTGACTTTGCAAAGGTATTTCACTGTGGATCGCATTGAGAAGAACTGGAATTCCAGAAAGCTCACTGCATTTGAGTGGAACCTGTATGTGGACCAGAAGACAGTTGATGGAACAGAACAAAGGAATTCTGCATGCTTTTCAGTAAAGAGAACCAGGCGTCCGAGTTGTATCTCTTCACCATATTATTCAAACTGTATGCTGAGCAAATGATCTCAGAAACTGGACTCTGTGAAGAAGAGGGCTGCATCAGAGTGGAAGGAGGCTTATTGATGATCTTTGGTGTGCAGATGAAAAAGAGCTTTCTTGCTGAAAGTGAATAGGACTGGAAATATTTGCTGACGCAGAGCAAGGTTTGCAGCCTTCAGGGTGGACTACAGCCAATGTAAAGAAAACCAAACTCCTCACAGCCAGACCAGTAGACATCATGATAACCAGAAAGAAGATTGAAGTTCTCAAGGATTTTATTTTGCTTAAATCCACAATCAATGCTCACAGAAACAGTAATAAAAAAAAAAAGAAAATCAAATCTAGCTTTGGGAAAATCTGCTGAACAGACAACCTCCTTTTTTTTAATGCATCTTTTAATAGCGCTCAAGCTAAAAGGGAACGGGTGCCGGCCGTGGCCGAGTAAGCGGGTATTCGCTAGGTACCACAGGATGCACTGTCAAACGGCTGCCCACAGGAACCTCACCTTCTGCAGAGGGGACAGGACACCTGATGGGCCCCTGACCTGGGAAGGGAGGGCAGGCGGGCAGTTATAGTACAGAGGGTCCGGTGGGCACTGGAGGAGCAGTCCGATGACCAGGTGTCTGAGGAAATGGAGTAAGGGGCTGATGAACTGTTCCCTGTTGTGTGTTCCTGGTCCTTGGTCCTGCTGGTCACACCGTGGGGCTGCTGGGAGAGAGGACATGGTGGCCAGAGCAAGCAGTAGACCAGGAACCAGGACCCACAGTCACTCAGGAGTCAGGTCACAGTTGCTGAGGCTAAGGGGGTAGTGTCGCTATGGGGCCACTGGGTGGTCCAACCAACAAGTAGCCAGTGTCCAGCGGGGGCTAACTTCAGACCCAGGGGACTTGCCAGGTCAGCAGAGAAGTCAGTTTTAGGCAGGGCTGCATTCCAAGGCAGTGGTTTCAAGTCCTATTGGCTGCAGGACCCTCAAGGCCGGTGGGCCGGTGGGCCGTCCTGCAAGCTGTGCAGAGCAGAGCCCAGACACACCTTAGGGGGCCTGGGAGGGCTTCAGATTGAAGGGTCATGGGGCCCGTGGATGATGATGGTTGTCATGGTGACCTACAGCGCCCCTGTGGGAGGATGGGCCTGACTGAGCAGTGGATGGAAGGTGCAGGGCCGGGTCTCAGTCCCTGCTCTGTGCCGCCCTCCTGGGTCACAGGTGCTGCCCAGTGGGCCAGGTGGGGGACTGGCGCTGGGTGGTAAACAGCAGTTCTGGTTGGAAGGCCCTTGGCTCTCCTTGGCTTCAGGTGGAGTCCCTTCCATTGGGATCAGGCCAGCGTCGCCGACCTGGAGCCGGCCGCTGCTCCTCCTCCGCTCCAGCTCCTGCAGCACCCACTGCTCCAAGGCCAGGGTGGCCACGCAGCTGAACAGCGCCCTCCCGTTCTCCCCCATCTTGACCAACGCCACCGAGTACTCGTCCTGCATCTTGTTGGCCAGACGCACGGCCTCCACTTCAGCCTGTGCACAGGCTGCCCCTGACAATAGGACCTTCTTGGTCCCCACCAGGAAGATGGCACTGGCTCCCGGCCCGTTCTCCCGGAGTGCGTCCTCCAGCCACTGCCTGGTGTGGTCCAGGGTCTGCACGTCCAAGAGGTGAAAGGCTGTGATGATGGCCTGGGCGCCCCGGTAGTAGGCAGATGCGATGCGCTTGAACTTCTGGCCGGCCATGTCCCAGATCTGGAGGCTGTAGGGGACCCCAGCAATCTCAAAGCTCTCGTTCTCGAAGTCTGCCCCAATGGTGGCCTTGTAGTCACGGTCAAAGACATTCTTACAGAACCTGTGAATGAGGCTGGTCTTACCTACATACAGGTCTCTGACAACCACCACCTTGGAGAGTCTGAGCCCGACGGTCCCCGCGTCCCTGCGCTCACAGGCGGCGCTGACCTTCTCATGGAAGTGTTCCTTCAGCTGCAGGCTGGCCTCGAGGGTGTACCACTTGGGGAGGCGGGTGATGACACAGTCCCGGTCACAGGTGGCCCCCATGGCTTCAGCCTGGCCCTCATCCTCCTGGAGTCCTGTTGCCCAGGCAGCTACGCTATGGCTGCAGCGGGGGTTCTGAGCTTAGCCGTGGCGCCAATCACCATGGCAACGAGGCCCCACTCGGGACTTGGGGGCTCCGGGTGGGGCTTGGGTGACTCTGGGTGGAACCCGACCTGGGAGAGAGTCCAAACAGACAACCTCTTAAAAGCGCTGAAGAGCAAATATGTCACTTTGAAGCTTAAATTGCGCTTAACTCAAGCCATGAGATGGTTAATTGCCCCATCTGGATGTGAAAGCTGGACAATGAAGAAGGGAAACTAAAGAAGAACCGATGCCTCTGCGTTATAATGTTGGTGAAGAATATTAAAAATATCATGGACTGCCAGAAGAAGAAGCTCGTTTATCCTAGAAGAAATACAACCAGAATGCTCCTTAGAAACATAGATGGCAAGATTTTGTCCACATACTTTAGATATGTTATTAAAAATGCTGACTCATATAGCAACAACCTGTGGGTTACTGAGACTGTTACTGTTCAAGGGATTAGAAATCCAGTCTTTTTGCTGAGAAGCTGCGAATGGTTTTGAACTGCTGACCATGGGCATCACAGCCCAACTCATAACCAGTTCGGCAGCAGGGCTCCTGGGTGCAGAATCAATGATGTTTTGTACTATTCTACATCGGGTGACTGCGAACCAAAACCGACTGGGTGGCACGGACTAAATAGTAAAGGTTTTAGATTTGCTGACTGTCCCCCTCTGTCACAAGTATTCCATTCTGCCTTTGTAGCATGAAATTACTGTGAGTGAGGCCACGTTCGAATGAAACTTTCTGCAGGAAAGTGGGCAGTTGGCTGGGTTTAGCAGCACATGGTGGGTTATGCATTGGCCTGCTCACAACAAGGTTAGCGATCTGAAACCATCAGCCTCTCTTTGGTAAAAAGATGAGACTTTCTACTCCAATACAGTGTTGGACAAGATTTAGACTCTTCATCAGGAAGTTAAGAGCCCAATGGGGCAATAATGCATCTACATAAATATATGTATAGTCAAAGTATGCATGGAAACATGCCACAAAAGAAATAAAAAGACATTTTTCTAGATAAGGGGGAAATTACTCTTGACTAGCTTGAGGAACTGTGGCGGTTAGAGAGGGTGATCAGTACCCTATTTATGAAGCAAATGATAGATGAGCCAATTCTTGCAGACTGGGACCAGTAGCAGTTACAAAGCCAACTCCAGGGAAAGGCAATAACGAAGAGAGGGAACGACATAAACAAGAGCCCTGAAGTCAAAAAGTGTGGGCTGTATGTAATAAAAATGAATAAGTGCTTTTTTATGGGAATGTAAGGTAAAAGGGTGAATGTAGATGAAGCCAGAGTTAAAAGGGAGCGAACATTAGCTGAGCATAAAAGCAGTCGGAGCCAAGTGAATCTAGGTTTTGTGAGATCTGGAGGATAGGGTGTTGTGAGCCCCCTATTTATTTTTTAAAATTACAAATAAAAAATCACATAAATTTGGTAGTAGTTGTACAATACTGCTTGATGTGATAGAACTATGGCATGATATTATGTCTGACTGAGCACCTAATAAAATGCTTTGGAAAAGAATAATAAAAAATCAATACAAAAAGCAAAGGAAATTACAGTGCTGGTAACATATATATATGACATTAATAAAAAATTTTAATGTTTTTTTAAATATTCTTTAATTATCATGTTTAAAGAATTTGCTTTTCTTTCCTTCAATAAAAGCACATAAAAATGAAAATGTATTTGTCATGAAGAAGGGAGCTCCAAGAAATTACAAAATTTTAAAAGCAAACAAATGCCCAAGTATCACACGATCGAGTCACAATGTACCCTGATGTTTTTGTGAGCTTTCTGCTACAGCTCTCCTCCTGGCTACGCTGATCAATCTCATTTCTAAAAGACCAGTTAGGTAATTCGACCTTTCCCTAGCCCCACTGATCAAATGTTTTATCGATTATTTTGACAATATATAACTATTTCTGTAATCCTCTCAAATCATTACTGATTATGCCATGCAAATTTCTAAGTTACTGTCAAGTTTAATAAATTCTTTGAATGGTGAGATTTCAAGGTTTTTCAAAATATCCTATATGGTGGTTAATTATAAAATCTCCTTGTATTGATGACAACTGTGTCACCGATCTCCTCCTGTACTGATGTAACAGGAGTATTATGGTGTTTTTATTGAAGGCTGTATTTCATGTCAAGAACGTAACGCTCTACCCAATGTGTTTATGTGATGTATGGCTTGTTACTAATCTGATGATGAGACAGCTCACGAGCCCATTCATTGCTTTCCTTGGCAATGAGCTCCGAGGGGCACAGTCACATATGATAAAGAACTAAAGAACGCTGCAGTGTACCCATATCTGTGTGCTATTGAGATAACACAAGGACTCATTCTAATCACAAATAGTTCTGCAATTGGGTAATCATATCCATGTATGATAATATGATACTAGCAGCAGTTAAATTGTTCTAAATGTTTTTTAAAATACAAAAATGTTCTACCCTGGGAAGTCTAAAAATGATTAATAGTTCCTCCTGAAGAATAACAGAATATACCATGCTATATAATTTAGTGCCATCTAGTGTTTTAAAGTGTATAAGAATTTCTAAGTGACTTCATAGAAGAAATAAGCAATTTTTACATTTTTAAAGCTAATTACTTTGACTTTTCAACGTACTACTTGCCAGTGACTCCAACTAAGATTTCCTGCACACAATCCACAATGAGACCATTGTTTACAAAGTCGTGAGTTTTTCCAAGTTAATTAAGTTCTTGTGCAATAAAAGAATCAAGTCATTCTTTCATTATTTTGACAGGAGATATCAGTTGAATCCTCTTTAAAAATGACAGATTCTCTTTGAAATGCCCAATTGGATAAGGTTGTTTTGAGGTTTGGGGTTTCTTTTATCACATCTTAGATCTAGAAGATTATATTTGATTTAAACCAAATTAATCAGACACACACAAAAACGTTCCCTAGTTTTATTAAAATAACAGTGTAAAATATTTATATATATATATATAATCTGGAAATGCACGCATCTGAACTTCTCTGACTTCCCTATTGCCTCAAAATGAGAGTCAGCCATGGCTCCACGCTCCATCCATACACTCCATCCATTACCAACTCCAAAGCCAACCATTCCTTCCACACCCTCCACATCTACTGGTTCCACGACTCGGTGCAGTGGTCACACAGCTCACAGACAATACTCACAATCAAGGAGCGGGGGGGTGTATTAGGGAAATCGAGGAGTCCTGGTGGCATAGTGGTTACATGTTGGGCTGTTAATTTCAAGGTCAGCAGTTTGAAACACCAGCCACTCCTCGGAAGAAAGAAAGACGAGCTTTTCTATTCCTGTAAAGAGGTCCGGTTTCAGAAACCCACAGGGGTTGTTCTAGCCTGTGCTATAGACAGTGAGATTAGGGAAGTCAAGAGAATGGACCACAAGTCAAGATCAGCAGCCAGTAAGACAGAGTCCGTGGTCCTCTCCTCAGTCAGCAGCCAAGTCTCTCTGGGGTTCTCAGCCTCTCAGCCACGTTGTGTTGAAGTCTTTCAGTCTTTCAGCCACTTATCCCCGTGGCCTTGGCCTTGGCCTCCAGGCAGGAGGCTAACTTGGAGAGTGGGCTGCCATGTGGACATTTACCAACTGTAAAGGAGCTTTGAGACATTTTCTGGAACATGGCGGAGGCCAAAGGAATGCTTGGCTAAGAGGCTGATGAACCGAGAGACGTGCATGATAGCGGGGCTGGGAGGAGGCTGAAGACTAAAAGGCTGTATCTTTTTTTTTAAATCATTTTATTAGGGGCTCATACAACTCTTATCACAATCCATACAGACATCAATTGTGTAAAGCGCATTTGTACATTCATTGCCCTCATCGTTCTCAAAACATTTCCTCTCTACTTAAGCCCCTGGCATTA